AAAGTTTTTTCTAGTAAGTTGCAAATTTTTTGAAACTTACACAGGGCAAGTGAAAAAAAAACAGTTTTTCAACATCAAAATTCTCCACTATTTTTAATGGAACACCCTATATATCACAACGTCAAAAAAAAGATTAATATTCAAGGTATCCATGTACCAATAGACATAGTCCCTAAAACTTGAAGTTTTAGAGGTAAAAAATCAAAATCTTGGTAACGCAGATGCAACTTCATATTATAGGTACTTAATATCACTATGACAAAGCATTTTGTAACCGTCTAGTGAGATATCAATTAAGTTAAATTACAATTTCCGAGATAATTTTACGAGTTCCAGAGTATCTCTGGAACTCGTCAAATAAAGATACCGCAAAAGTAACAGTTTGGTGTGCAATCCCTATTAAGAAAAAATACAGACCATTTCCATTAATGAACTAACGATAACAGAGAAATTGTATACACTGATATGTTCTTTTTTCCACAGTTAAGACAGGAGGGTATCTTGGATGATATCTATTTCCAGCAGGATGGTGTCCCCACCTCATTATTCTTTACTAGCAAGGGAATCACTAGATATGACATTTGGGGAAAGACGGATATGGAGGTCCTATAGAATGGACACTTCACTCTCCTGACTTGAGAGTTCCAGACTTTTTTCTCCAGAGTTATGTCGAGGAAATATGCTGTAATCCTTTGCTCAAACAGACTGAAATATTTTAAGTGGAACATTTATAATGTCATTGAAGCGATTCCCCAAGAAATGTTACACAAGTCATTAACCCATTTACTGATCCATAAATGCCTGGAACAGAATGGCTAACATATACATATACAGCATTTTGTATAGTTTTATGCAGTTTTTATCAACTTTTTTTTGGGCAAACATAAGTTCCAAGCTTTGTAAATATGCCGTTTGCAGAAATACCAAGATTTCGATTTTAATTTTTCACGGCTAAAACTTCAAGTTTTAGGGACTATGTCTATTCGTACATGGATACCTTGAACATTATTCTTTTTTGACGTCGTGATATAAGGGTGTTCCATTAAAAATAGAATTTCAATGTTGAAAAACGGATTTTTTTTTAACTTACCCTGTATAGGTTACAAAAAAAATTGCAACCTACTAGAAGAAACTTTAGACTAGGATAAATCGAATGGCGCAAACCGCAGGAAGCTAGCACACCTGGTTTAAAAGTTAGAACCATTTAAAATGGTTCACTTTCGGCTGGGACACGCTGTATTATCTTTTTACGTGAAAAGGTGAATTGTGTGAAGGTGAAGGTGTCAATTCTATGCGAGTGCTTAGAAGAAAGTCATTTGAAAACTAAAATGGCAATCGAAAAGTCGCTATTATGAAACGTCAGTAGAAAATAGTTAAGTCTCGTTTTTATTCTCATCGGTGACTTCACCGATGAGTAAGCTATCTTTGTTTGAGGAATGGAAAATGACGTCCATAGAATGATGGATCCATCGTTAAAATTTGATGAGAATAAAAACGCAGGGTTATTAATGATACCAGTTCGATATGAACACCAACGGGTATCATTCAAAATTGAATCTACGATGGTCCAAATAGCCTTAAAATAGCAAATACTTTTTAAATTTAAGTTTATTCATCAATTCACAATACAGATTGCCCTAAACAATATTTGTTTCAACGTCACTATAAAAATAGTTACCTAATATTTTTTACTTCAAATTAAATTAATATCTATAGGTACTATTTTTCATTCAGAAAACCTAGATCTTACACAGATCTTTTGATCAATTTTTGAGAAATGATATGGACAAAAACACTTGTAGGAAAAACATTGTACCTAACTCTTGCGGAAAAGTGCCACTTTCCTCACTTGTTAGTTAAATAACTATTATACAATGCTATTACATACGTTATTAAAGAATGTACAGAGTGGTCGAATTTGGACACTTTTGCTTTTGATAGGAAACGTGAATTTCTGAGCCAGATACAAAAAAAAAAATTGACCACTTACTATGAGGCTCAAATTTCATTATACCTAGGGCCGGTTTCTCAATAGCAGGTCACCCTCGGGTTAATCATTACTCCAGGGTAAACATAGCAACTGGACACGCTTACCCTGGAGTTGAAACCAACCGAGAGGTAACTCGCTATTGAGAAACCGCCCCCTAGAGGATGTTTTTGTATTTTGAGCAATACTGTAAAACCTTCATAACTTTTTTATTTATGAAAATAATTGATTTCTGTGTAAACTTTCAACTCAATTTTTTTTCTGTCCCGATTTCGAGAAAGTTTTCACGAAAATCAATTATTTTGATAAACAAAAAAATTATGAAGCTTTCATCGTATTACTCAAAATCGAGAAACGCTCACTAGAGACAAAACGGTTGAAGATATCAAAATGCGGTCTGCACCAATACTTGAAGTTTCTTTAAAATTTGATGCTCAGAGTAGATGTATCTTGCTCAGAAATTGAAGTTTATTAAAATTGTCCAAATTGGACCACCCTGTACCCTGTTCATATCAAAAGACAGAAAATATTTAAAATACCTATTCAAAATAAATACATTTCAAAATAAAAATAAAACAAACTTATTTGATAAAAAGAAAACGATAAAACAATGGTGTTAGCTTGGAAATTTTTTCTATCAAATTTTATTAAAAAATTCTTCTATAAAATTTTCCTAAAAGTAAATGACTTTTTTTAAAATGTTTTAAGTTTCTGAGTAGTTGTTCAGGCTCTCAGAGGGAGGGGCGCCCACTCCTGGATCCGCCACTGTAATAACCCCAAGCAACCTCTCCAGACGTCTCCCACTTACTCTTATTCTTATAGACATAAATGCAATAGTTCAATAAGTATATCGAGATAACCGTCAAAATTCTTAGCTCCTTGAAAATATTTTTAAAGTCCGTCGATTTCAATCTGATACTCCAAAGGAATGTGAGCTGTCTTCATCAGAACGCCAATGGTCACCTGACATCACACCTGATTTTGCCATAAGTTTTACCCCCTCGCGCCTCACACGGAAAGTGTCAGATAAAAAACGATGGACAATACATGAACATAGTATGTTTTTGAATGTGATTGTTTTCACAATTTTTTTCTGCATTATCAACATTTCATTTATGCGGACAGCACTGTTTCAACAAACAATTCCATATTTAAGTGTAGACTGAACATATGCATAATAATTCGATAGATGAGACGCCAAACCACAAAAGATGTACAGCCCTATATGAGTATCCCATACATCTATATGAGTTTCCCATGACAAGTTTAAATCAACATGCACACCCAAGAACTTTATTTCCCTATATGACAATATCATCATCTGCATTCAAGGATAATTTGTTGATATTTGCATATTTAACTACATGGTCCACTTCATTACTTGCCCTCACACTCAGATCACCAGCTGATACCACAGTTGTCATATCGTCTGCATTTTTTATTTTTGTCAATAACGTCATATATAAAAATGGTGAATAGTAGGGGACCCAGGATACTCCCTTCAGGTACATCAATTGTAATATCTTGGAAATCAGATGTATATGCAGGCGACCTGATAGATACGAGCATAGCCACTCATGCGCCACGCCTCTCACCCCCAGGCTGTTCATCTTTTACAGCAACTTATGGTAAACCATCTCAAATGCTTAACTGTAATCAACATCTAAACTTGCTGTTAGTTGTTTATTGTCTAGATTCTTTATAGTAGTGCTTATAGAGTTTATAATAGCATCTTGAGTAGAATAATGTTTTCTAAAACCAAATTTTTCATTAGGAATTATCTTATATTCATTAAGAATGCCCAACAACCTTGAGGAAAAAAGCTTTTCGTTTATCCTCGAGAATACTGACAGCAAGGATACTGGCCTATAATTTTTTATCAATGTCTTATCATCCTTTTTGTGAAATGGTTTCACTTCAGAAATCTTCAAGCATGACGGAAAATGCCCTTATTGAAAGACATGTTGGTTAGGTAACATAAAATTGATGTTATAGGATAGACGATTTCCTGTAACAAGTTACGGGAATCCCATCATACCCTGAAGTCCTCTTTTTAGCCACCAAATTTATCTCATTAAATGCTTCCTCCTGCGTAAATTCAAAATTTAGCAGGTGCTCGTACTAGTCGGCAAACGCGCTTGTTGATTTTTGGAATTTTGACTTTGGCAGCAGGCAGCTTCAATATTGGAGTACATTTTTGTGCCATAAATTCAGTTTTATAGTGGAAAATAATATTTATATGGGTGATTCTGAGTCCAAAGGTGTGGTGCCGTTGAATATTGGAACAGCATCAATGAAAAGGTTCTTCTCATAACTAACTTTCTTTTTGTGTACTTTCTATTTTAAAATTTGGGTAATTTTATGAATTTTTAAGAACACTAGTGCTATTATCAAGGACCTAATGGCATTCAAATGAGAATGCTAAATGTGTCATAATGACACCGACGTAGATTATAGTTATTAATGATACAAGTTCGATATGAACACCATAATGAAACACGTGTAACGTTAAACCACGAGGCGTCAGCCGTGTGGTTTAGTTACACAAGTTTCATTAATAAAGTTCATATCAAACGTGTATCATTCAAAATTTAATCTACGATGGGTCCAAATAGATTTGATTTGCCTTGAAATAGCACAAACTTTTCAAATTAAAATTCAAAATTTAGCAGGTGCCTGTACTAGTTGGAAACCTGCTTGTTGCTTTTTAGAATTTTGACTTTGGCAGCTTCAATATTGGAGTCCATTTTTGTGCCATAAATTCAATTTGAAAATAATATTAATATTGATGATTCTGACTTCGAAAGTGTCCCTTCGAATATCGAGACAGCATCAATGAAATAATGAAAAGGTTCTTCTGGTAACTAACTTTCTTTTTGTATATTTTTTATTTCATAATTTGGGTGTTTTTATGAATTATGAAATGCACTAATGCTATTATGAAGGACCTAATGACATTCAAATGACAATGCTAAATGTGTCATAATGACACCGATGTAGATTAAATGCTTAATAAACATGTTTACATAAATGTTGGTCTTGTTTTTTTTCTCTGTGTTACTGGCCTAGTCCACATAGATGTTTAACTTTGTTTTTTTTTTGTTTATACAGGCATCATTTTTCTTCTTTCCGGAAGAAAAAATCCAAAAATCGTCGTAGACGAATACGAGTACAGCATAAATCGTAAAATGCAACATAAAACCATGTGGATATGTACGCATTATTATAAAACCCAATGCAGAGGCAGAGGTACATCATTTGGTAAAACAGTCAAAATTACTGGAAAACACAATCATCCGCCATCCACTTCCTTTAATAAATCTAAGGCGGTGTGTAAATATGTGACTTTAATACGTCAGGGTAAGTTTTGAAGGAGTATGGTAAAGACATTCACCTAACTCTAATCTTTTAAAAAAATAGACAGAGAAACGAAGAATGAATCACATTATTTGAAGAAGCGGGAGATAGAATATCTTTAATGTTGGATTTGTTATAAAATATAATGTTTTGTTATAAAATAAACAAATTTGTACAGTTCAATCAGTACGGATTAATTTATTTTTTCCAATATTTATCAAAATGTGATATAAAGAGGCCTACATCTATAAATTTCAAATAAACTCAAATATACCTACTATTATGGTTTTAATGATATTCTTTTGAATCACTCCAGGATAAGTTAAAATATAGGCGAGACAACAGTAAACTTCCCACAAGAATCGTAAGCATATTAATGATTTTTAGTTTAGTTTTATTTTTGTCAATTATTAATATATTTTTTTAGGTATTATTCACGTTGTAGCAGGCCTCAAGAACCCTAAAATCATCCTAGACAATGACGAGTTTCAAATAAACCGTAAACTACAAGGAAAAACTATGTGGAAATGCTCGCAGTACATCAGAAACAGATGTCTCTCGCGTCTCATCACCTTTGGAAGGTGTGTTAAAATTACTTGTCCTCACAATCACAGTCCTATTTATCCAAACATTGAAAAAGCGCATTCACAGATTGTCAGAATAATTAGGAATACGTAATAAATATTGATGCAAAGCTACTTAAGCTTAAATTTCACTTCTTTCGCAGTTTTACAAGTTTTGCTTAAAAGGATTATAAAAGTGAATAGTGTAGTCGGAATAACTAAGTCCAAGAATGGGTTTGCGAGAGGGTATCCCATCTTCAAAAAGTATCAATAATTTCCTAGTTACCATCCAAGAAAATAATAAAGAAGACCCAAAACATATGTGATTTTTAGAACTAAATAAATTTCTCCTTATTATACAAACGCCTTTTTTAGGTATGATCTATGTGGTTTCTGGTACCAGAAACCCAATCCTGATCCTAGACGAAAACGAGTATACCATTTACTCAAAGCGACATGATAACACAAGATGGCGATGCAGTTGGTACTTTAAAACTAAGTGCAAATCCAGGTTAATTTCATCCGGTAAAATTGTGGAAGTTTTAAATGAACATAATCATTTGGCGAAGACCAGTAGAAACTTGAGCAATTGTCAAAGACAGTATGTTTATATCAGAAGACGACTTACATAGATATTATTATTGGCAAATCTTCAATCCTTTGATTTCAGTATGACTTATTTATTCTACTTCTTTGAAACTTCACGGCTCTTGGCCCTCATTCCAGTTAATGGCTGTTACAGATTATTTCGACCAGTGATGATATTTGAAATATTTGTTTTTTTTTTATACATGTTACAGTTTGAGAAGTATTATAAAAGTAGGTCTCAATATTACTAGAGATTAAGCTTTCAATAAAGACTTTTGAAATTACATGAATGGAAGTATTTACATAACTTTTCTGGGTACCTGTTTCGCTATCAAATCCAATTTTTGTTGACTACAATTTACAAAAACCAAAATGTATGTTTAATTATAACGATACAATTACCTAATTGAAAATAAAATACCTACAAGATGACCCAATTTAATATCAAATCCAGTAATGTACCGCTTCGTCACAATTAAATTGATGCGCATTAAACCAACAACGATTTCTTTGTCTTACAAACTGAACTTTAAACTTAACTAAAGCCAAGAAAATAAAATAAGTAGTTATGGTGGTCACAGTGGTCCTGGCGTGACTGCTGGGTTGGCGGTGGCGACTGTTCTGTTCTTTGTCGGCTGCGCTTGTGTTATTTTACTGGTTTTAGACTGGTGAGGATTCTCTTAGACCGTCAGGGTCTTATGGAAGGCTGGCTCCCTGCTTTAGATTAGATTAGATTAGATTGTGTTAGGGGCGTCTAGGTGAGACCTCTCTGCACTGCGATCTGAATAGATCTATTGTGCTTCCCTTTTTTCTAGTAGGTTCCCAGGTTGAGACTTTTCGCGAATCTCACGATTTTTCCGGGATTGGTTCAATTAACTTCCGCAGCAGTCAATTGTGACTGCTCCAGATGAATGGGTCTTCTGTGACATAATGCTTCGCATTTGCAGAGTATATGTTCGGCAGATTCGGATGCTTCTTTGCAGAAGCGGCAAAGGTCTGATTCAGCTTCACCAATCTTTTTCGGGTGCTGGTAGCCAAGAGGGCAGTGGCCGGTGAGGAGACCTGTTATGAGCCTCAAGTCTGGTTTGCTGAGTTCGACTAGTTCCTTTGCCTTTGGCGAGATGAATTGCTTCGCCTGTCTGAGTCCTGGAGTATTGTTACAATGGGAGGGCTGTTGTGCCTCTACCCATTTTTTGAGTTCGGTTCTTACATGGCTTTTTGTCAGGCCAGAGAAGGGTTCTGGACCGAGGAATGGTGACGCGGCGCCTTCTCTTGCAAGCCGGTCCGCTATTTCATTTCCTTCTATGTTTTGGTGCCCTGGTACCCATGCTACAGTGACTCTTTTGCATTTCGCCAGTTGTTTTAGAAGTTGCTGACAATCCCAGACTAGTCTGGATTAGTGACAAAGCTGTGAAGAGCCTTAAGTGCTGCCTGACTGTCAGAATTGATGAAGATTCTTGCACATCGCAGCTCTATTTCAAGACACTTTCTGGCGCAGAGTTCTTTTGTGTACGTTTCCTCTTGGAATATGGTGTAGTTTTTTCCTAAGACTACCGAAAGCCTGCAGTTTGAGCTATATACGCCCACTCCGACCCCTTCTTCTGTTTTCGATTTATCTGTGTACGAGATGGATGAACCGTTTGGGAATTTATGTACGATCTTGTCACTTTTGCGGCCTTCTGCGGTCACACTAAAAAGGTGATTAAATTCGTATCTGGGTGGCATGATGTCCACCGGTTTTGTTGGTGTACCATGGCATTCTTTAATGATGCTCATATGTCTAACAAGGTCCCCTTCTTTTAGGTTTAGAGACCGTATAACCCTTGAGGCCCCCATGTAGGCCTCCCTCCTCACTGCAATGTGCAGAGGGATGATATCTAACATGACGGTTGAACAGGCACCTGTTATTCCAAAGACATGCATACCTTTCTACAACTGCCAATCGGTTTTGCCCTGTCTGCTGCTTCACTTTTGGCCACCACACCAATGTAGCATATGTGACCAGGGGTCTTATAATCATCGTATATAACCAATCGAGTAACCAATAGATCATTTTTGGCTTTAGGCCTCATGTTTTACTGAATAATCTTCGGCATGTCCAGTACGCTATTGTTGCTCGATCGATTATTCTTTTTAAATGTGAGTTCCAGGTGAGCTTTTGATCTAGGACAACCCCCAGATATTTGACTTCACTTGAAAGGCCTATTCCATCCAGTGTTGGAGCTATTAAGTTGAGCTTCCTTTTCCTTGTGAATAGTACCATCAGCATATCCTAGGACCACAAATCCATGGTCAGTATGTTTAGAAGTTCATCTGTTACTATGGACCATAGCAGTGGGGATAATACACTCCCTTGGGGGCACCCCTTGACTGCTAGGACCATCGCTGAGTTGCTTTGATTTTCCTATCCTGTAGCAGGGTTTCAATCCATGTGATTGTAGCGTCCTCAAAGCCCTTGTTTTTTGCCGCCTTTCTTATGGACTTATAAGAGAGGTGTTACCAAATCCATCGTCTATATCTACAGGGTGTATATTTTAAGTGATACCACTATTGCTATATCCGAAATGGTAAAAGCTACAAGGTCGGTTAAATTAGAAAAAAATTGCCTTTTTGATGCCCATTCAAGACTTGTTTACAGTGTTGCCAAATTGCTTTTAGTTTATGAAATACAGGGTGATTTCTAAAAAACGCCTAAAATTATTTTATTAATTATTTCGAAAACTATTGATATTCGAGACACAATTTAAATTTGAGAGTTTTACAATTTTTTTCGCTCTACAACACAGCATCTTCAAATTTTAAGTTCGACCTTTCGTGATCGAGCTACCATCATCAACTTCATTTTTTTAAATACGGACCTGGATTTTTTATGTCATTTTTACAAAGCGCCCTTAACTCCCTTTCTAAAAATGACATAAAAAATCCAGGTCCGTATTTAAAAAAAAGAAGTTGATGATGGTAGCTCGATCACGAAACGTCGGATTTAAAATTTGAAGATGCCATGTTGTAGAGCGGAAAAAATTATAAAACTTTCAAATTTAAATCGTGTCTCGAATATCTATAATTTTCGAAATAATTGATTAAATAATTTGAGGCGTTTTTCAGAAATCACCTTGTATTTCATAAACTAAAAGAAATTTGGCAACAGTGTAAACAAGTCTTGAATGGGCATCAAAAAAGGCAACTTTTTTCTAATTCAACCGACCTTGTAGCTATTACCGTTGCGGATATAGCAATAGTGGTATCACTTAAAATATACACCCTGTATATCAATGAATGCACAGAGAGTGGTTTCTTGGTTGGAGTGTGCCTTTTCAATCCTATTGACAAGGCTGTGTAGGGCTTTCTCCGTTGATTTGCCTGCTTGAAAGGCATATTGGTTTCTGTGGAGCGATTTATCGGTTATGAATTCGCTTCTTATGTGTAAATCAATTATTTTCTCCATCGTTTTGAGGAGAAACGAGGTAAGGCTGATAGGTTTGGACGATTTAGGCTGTGCTGTATGACGTTTCCCAGCCTTTGGAATAAAGATCGCATTTACTTTCCGCCAGCTGGTGAGAATGTAACCTAGTAGGTAGCTAGCTTCGAATATTATTGCTAGTGGAGTTATAAGTTCTTCTAAGCCTTGTTGTAGGAGAGCTGGAAGAATTCTGTCTTCTCATGGTGATTTGTTGGGCTTAAAATTGTTTATAGCCCATCTTATTTTGTTTGACGTGAATATTTTTCTGGTCAGACTTTTTCTTCGGTTGCTTGAGCGTGAGACGCTCTTAGCCACCGAAGCTCTGTTGCCGTTTAGCTCTCACTCTACAGAGTCTGGGAAGTGCGATTGTAGGAGCAGTTTCACACTCTCTATTCTACTCTTTGTGTAACTGCCATCAGGTTTTTGCAGTAGTTCAATGCCGTTTGAGTGATCTTTTGCAAGGAATTTCTGGAGTAGCATTGTCTGAGGGATGTCAGTAATCTCTTCACAGAAATTCCTCCAGGATTTCCTTTTAGAACTTCTCAATTCCTTGCTGAATTCAGTTAGGGCAGTTCTGTATTAGCCCCAGTTGTTGGTGCGTTTTGCCCTATTGAATAACCTTCTTGTTTCAGCTCTTAGGGAACTGAGCGCGCTGTTCCATCAGGGCGTTTTTCTATCTTCGACCCTTTGTTTCACGGGACAGCTGTTCTCATAGGCTGTTATTATTAGAGTGTTTAGTTCGTTCGTCATATACTCTAACTCACCCTCTGTTTCTATTGCGTTGGGGTAGTCGGTTACTTCTACTTTTAGTAGGTCTTTGTATAGATCCCAGTCAGTTAGTTTTGGGTTTCTATGGTCGAAAAGGCGTGTCTCTTTGACCTCTATATCGAATCTTATATGTTTATGATCCGACAACGAGAATTTGTTGGAGACATGCCAGTTTTTAATTTGGTTGCTTATGTGTGTGCTTGCCAAGGCTAAGTCTGACACTTCTTGCCGCACACTGTTTGCAAAGGTGGGTTTGTTACCATTGTTGATAATGTGTAAGTCATTAGAGAACAAATATTCAATAAGGTACTCATCTCTCTTGTTGCTGTTTGTGCTGTCCCATATGGTGTAGTGGGAGTTGGCATCACAACCGATTATAAGGTGTTTCTTCATCCTTTCGCAGTAGCTGACGAGTCGTTTAACGTCCTCTGGGGGTGGATTTGTTTCATCGTCTCCAGGGAAGTAAGCCGAGGCAATTACTACCTCTTGCTTACCCCCTGAAGTTGGTGTCTCTACAGCCCCTGTAGATAAGTCCCTTGTAATGAACTCTGGAAAAGGAACAAAGTTGATATTCTTATTTAGCATTATTGCTGCCCTTGGGTGTTCATGTTGATTATTGTATATTAACTTACATGATTTTGTTGGAAGTCGTTTTATTCGTGAACCATGGGTCCATGGCTCCTGAATGAGGACTATGTCCAGTTGTTCCCAGTTGAATCTACAGCTAAGCACGTCTGATGCAGCTTTTGCGTATTGCGGATTCACTTGTAACACCATTATGATTGCTCCTTGCTGGGACCTTTATGATCCCTGGTTTTGCTGGGCTTTTTACCCGTTGCAGTTTTGCCTTCTCCTTTGGGGCACGTCTCAGTCCCCCTGGGGTCTGCCACTTTCGACACGTCCCGGCCGCCGCAGCAGCACCAGTTTCAGGCACCTTTTTTGGGACTGTCCTTTGGGGTCCTCCTCTCGGCTTTAGCCGAAGCTGGCCGAATCGGTAGGCCACCCTGAAGTTTTCCCTCTTCAGGTTTTCATAAGACCGTCGGTCTATGGAAATG